ATCTTCCATTTAGTGTTTTAATTTCTATTCTCATCAACGGCAACAGCTTTGGAACTGATAAATTGACAAATGCACCACATGCTTTTTTTTTTTTTTTTTTGTAAAGCAACTGTTATTCAAGTTTGCAACCGGTGCGATACGTGGTGCAAAGATTGCGTTTACGCTTGTGCCAGTTGACCGTCTGCGCGATGCCTGCGGGTGCTGACGAGCAGATGTCGGCTGCTTCCGTTGTCTTCGATATGTCAAACGTCAGCGGCGAAGCTGAAAGTCCTGATTTATTTAATTTTTTTTATTTTTTTTTGGGGTGCCATTGTGAACAATGTGAGCATGCCGAATTTAAACTGGACATGAGTGGGAGCGGGGCTTGTGGGGTGGTATGAATGAAGTGAGCATTGAACCAGAGTCAAACACGCCAGAACCTTGCGTCTGGTATCTGAAGCCGCTTTAGTGCGTCTGTGTCAAGCTTCCGTTACATTTGACCCGCAGAAACATTTTGTCGCCATCGGGCCACATGCTAAAAAAAAAAAAAAAAACAGACAAATTTGTTTTACGGTTATTCAAAACAAGTGGACTCCATTTTATTCGTGTAGCCCTTTGAGAACAACCGCTGCTACGGGCAAATTACTGACTGTCATCTTCCAAAACCCTTCCTTAAAGCTCGAAGAGCCATGAGTCAGGAAATAAATAAAAGAAGAAGCTCATTAAGCAGTGCCGCAGAGAAAAATGGCTTATTTAGATTGAACTATTTTCGCTTGTTACCGACTCCAAAAAAAAAAATGTTTCGCCTTTCAATCTTGAGGTGACCTAATGCTGCATGGCTTCCACAACGTGAGACAAGAGTCAGTCATGGTTCGCGCACGGCCCGAATGATGATTTTTTTTTTTTTTTTTTCCCACCAGTGTTCGTTCAAGGTCGCTGAAATGCTCGCCGGACGAGCGCCAACAGTTTTGAACCGTCGCAAATTGCTTTTGCTGTTGCCAGGAAATTTTCAACATGTTTCACATTTCACTGCGACAAGGAAAACTGTTCGGGACCGTTAAAAGTGTGGGCAGATGTCTTTGCGACCTTGAAGGAACCCTGATGGGGGGTAAAAAACAAAAACACATTTTCTACATGCACGGTGAGCTACGCGCTTAATTAACACTGTAAACAGGCGGCCATTAGCCACGGCTGCTGCTGTACATTGGCAGCGCTATCAGTTGACTTTTTGGGGATGGAAAAAATCCAAAAGAGCTTTTCAACGTACGCGGCGACGAGCAGACGTGGATTGCGTCGCGCCATGTTCACGCAACTTGAACGCCGCGTGTCTTCTGCTGGGACCTTTTCGTTCGCTTGCGCTTCAAACGAGCCGAGAACGGCAGCGTCGAACGGCATCCCGACTCTTCATTGTCCTTGAGCGCGGTTCCCGTTCCTGCTCGTGGACAGAAAACGGCAACCGTGCTTGCCGTTCCGCTCTCTCGCCTCCGAGTAATGTCGTATCTGAACATTTACCAACGCGGCACATATTTGTGTGAGCGGCCGCTGTCTGTGATGAATATTAAAACATCACGTAGCAGTCGCCTCACGGATGATCAACATCTGCAGTCTGTCCTGACGGTCGAAGGGAAAATACCAAGCGTGCCGTGATTTGCACCGAAAAGTACCATTTTGTATTTCCAGCATGAATCGGTGCTATTTTAAGGGATTTTCATGAGGAACGAAAATATCTGAACGATAAGTGGATTTATTTTGAGTGATTTTTGTTTGAAAATGTGTTTGTACAACATGTTTATCCTTTGCGGCCCGGCGGTCGACCGGTTGGCACGTCGGCCTCACAGTACAGAGGCGCAGCATTCGATTCCGGCTCGGGCCTTCCTGTGTGGCGTTTGCGTGGGTAGGAAAGTCAACACTTGTTGGTGAGGGCTGTCAAACTCATTTTTTGTCGCGGGCCAGATTTTAATTGCAGTTTCCCTCGGAGGGCCGTTGGGACTGAAATCATATCAAGAAGTCAGAGGGACTGTCCTCCGAGACAAGTTTCTCCTACGGGAGACCTCATAAAAAGTCAAGTCAAGAATAACGGTTTATTCACCTATTGTTCAATGAAGAAAATGCTTACAGTATCACTCTTATTTATTACAAATGAGAATTTTTAAAAGTTTGGTCGAGGTTTGAGCAAGCATCATGGAAGTTGACATCTTTGATTTGCTTTCGCGGGCCACATAAAATGATGTGGCGGGCCAGATCTGGCCCCCGGGCCTTGAGTTTGACACCTGTACCGTAGGTAGTTGGGAAGGCAGGCAGGTGGATAGTTTGGTTGGTTAGCGAATTGGGTAACTGATTAGTTCGGGAGGTCGGCCTCTTTTTGGGTGAGTCGATTGGAAGGTCGCCCAGGTGCGTCGCTCGGCAGGCTACTTTGACTGCGTTCTGTTATTCGCTGCGACGCAATCCGCACTCGAGTGAGCGCGGTTATGAACCAAACGAGCGTCATCCTATTTCGTGCACCAGCGGGCATAGCGGAAGCAAACGAGTCAACGGGGCCCCGTGGCTCCTTTCTGGCCTATTTTGGCATCGTCGCACACGCAAACAAACGCTCTCTCGCCCTCGGGGCGGTAGTAGGGGGGGGGGAAATCGTCCCGATCGATCGATGGCGAGCCGGCAGCGGAGCGTCGCCGCTAATGTGCTCGTTTGACGACGTGACGAGTGGAGTCGTTTGGCCTCAAAGTGAGCAGCAAAGTCTCGCTAATGCGACGCCGCATGCTAAGGAGGAGCAAAGTGTCGCCGATCGTTCCCTTGTTTGCCGACTCGCTCCCATCCGAGCATCCTTGGACGCCCGATGGCTTCACCTCATTCCATTTAAACGTTGTCATACCTTCCACATCTTTACAAACGCCTCCTCGCCTTCTCACGTCTTTTCGTCCTTGCATGCGTACGTCCCGGCCTACTCGATCGCTCCCGATCGGCAAGCCCTGTCTTGAAAGGCGATGCCCTCCGTTTCCTGTGCCGTGAAGTCGTTCAAGTGTTTTTCTCCCTCGAGAAGAATGGCAAAGTCAAGAAAGCAACAACTCGGTCTTGTGTGTCTTTTTTATTTTTTTTTTTCATGACGCCTGGCAAGTGGAGCGACCCTTTGAAGCTTTTCTCACATTCGCGCTTACGTTCAAGTTCCCACGCGTTCAGCAGGGACACCGTTGTTACCAAATCTGACACGCGCGCACAAAGCCAACATGTGGTCAGCTTTGAGGCGCGCCCCTTTACATCCAACACGGTAAACTCAAAGAACCCCCCCC